CTGTATATGACGGTAACTGTACATTGATGCATACATGTTATTGGTAAATATTGGTGTGCATCATATGTGTGTGTGTGTGTGTGTGTGTGTGGAGTACATACAGTACATTGTTTAAGTGTGTACCTTTGCCAGCAGCAGCTCCCACAGACTCAACACTTTGGTCAAACGAGGAAGAACAATGTCCATCAGCTCCTCATCCTCACACTGGTCCACCAGCTGTAAACAGTCATCGTGAAAACAACACATCAGACGTCTTAATATACAGGTCATTACGTCGAACTTAAAAAAAACAACCTTTACTTTGGAAGTCCATGCCGCCGTTCTTCTTACCTCTTGCAGTCGATCTCGTCTTCTCTCCGCTTGCTGCTCTGCTGTTACCATGGTAGCAGTGAGCTTTGGAGGTCGACCACGACGACCCCGTCTACTAACAAGGCCCATAGTCACCTGAGAGAGTCAACCAGTCAGATGAACCAATTATTTACCTGATTTCTGATCCCAGCTGGAAATCTGAGGACTGCAGTTACCCATATATCACTACCACCTGCGTGTTGACTTAAGCCATGTTTCCACCAGAGGGACTTTCCCCGGGGAGCGAAAGAGTACCTAGTTGAGGGATAATACAATCTGAAAGTCCAACAACTATCAGTGAGGGGGCTGCAGTGCTGAACATCACTGGCTGGGCAGGCTCTATGGAGCGAGAATTTCACTTGCGTACACAAGTAAAAATCTGAGTATTCGCCAGCATGAAAAATGATTTGGGCACACTGATATAACTACCTCCAGTTCCATGAGTTTTCAGTTTGTAATGAGCATTTTATCAGTAGGCCTACATGAAGAGACAAGTGAATAAGATTAGTGGATTGGAAAATATGGTTTTAGGGGTTGCGGAGCAGCTTTTCCTGGTGTTTTGACCTGAGGGTGGAGCTCAGCTCCTCCACGCACAAAGCTACCTGCTGGTTAACCAGCAGATTAATGACCCATGATGTTATTGTCAGCGCTACGCTACCTGTTGGAATTAATTTCACTACTGTGGGACTATGTGGTCGTGTGGGGGAAGACGCAGCGACCACCGGTTGGATTTACCGACCTTGGAGCTACTTGAAAGGGAGCGATGTTTCATCTTCATAATAACGGTAAGTCAAAAAAACAAATAAAAAAAAAATACCGATGGACTGATTAGTCAGGATAAACAATAAAAAACCCTGACTAAATCTCCACTGGTTTACGTCGACATTTGTTCAGTAAAAACTCAGTGTAAACCAGTTTAAGCTAGTGACCTCACCTTAGGAGGCGGTGCCAGCAATCGCTGCCTCTGCCCCTGCCCCTGCCCCTGCCTCTCCCCCGTCCACGGGGTCGACCAGGGCCCCGGTGATGGAGGCCCCTGAGTCCTACAGCTGCTGCTGGACCCCACTCCACCTGAAGACCATCAGAAAGTAAACCAGACAATAACTAACCAGTCACAGTAAAGAATTATCTAGTCAAATACTGTAACTACTTGGTTAACCAGGCAACAGTTGAAATTTAGCCAGCAGGACAGTAAACCTGTCGTCATTTAAATATTTAACCAGCCAGCAACTAGCAAATCAATAAACAAGATAAATCATTAAGTAGTCACTCAGCCTACTCAGGAATTAACTAGAAAGTAATTTACTGGTGTGTAATTAACTAATCACTAAACCAGATTAATTAGCCAGTTAATCTCAACTGAAGTAATGATTTAAATCAGTAATTAGTCAGTCCATATATAGTGTAATAATTACTTAGTATACCATAGAGTAATTATCTTTTAAGCATTTCAACCAGTCACTTGACCAGTTTGAAATTAGCTTATCAATAATGCATGTAACCAGCCAATAAATGGCTGGTCTTAACAAGACTAATTAACAATTTCTTTAGACACACAATAATAAATCAAACGGCTCGAAACTGAAATATAATCCACCCCCCTGATCTCAGCTGGTTGGTGGAAGGGTCTCTTACTCTGTTTGTTGCTGTGTCATCAGGTTTGTCCTCCTTCTCCTCCTCCCTGACTCCCTCTGGCATCATCTCCTGTGATTGGCTGACATTTGTGAGTGGGTGTGGCGGGTTGTCAGGCCGGTTGCTGGGCGGATCAGGGTCACCATGGGTTGGATTCAATTTATAGTGGCGGTTCAGGCCTCCAGTACCAATGTAGGCTTTGTCGCAGGTCTGGCAGCGGTGGGACCGGGACTTGTGATTATAGCTGAGGGAGGGAGAGGAGCCTAGTGTGGGGTTATCCTTTCTCCCTCCCTCCGCCTCCTCCTCCACACTTATGTCAGAGTAGTCATCAGAGTCAGACTGGTGACTGTCGGCCAGGTCCTCCGTCTTTATGAACTTGTAGTCTTTGACTTTGTACTTAGGTGGTCTGGAGACCCGACCAGATCTAGTCTGGACCTTCATTACCTTCTTCTCCCTCTTCTTTACCTTTTTCTTCTCCTCCTTTTCTCTTTCTCTGTCCTTCACTGGGAGCAAGGCCATGGCAGAAGGAGGTGCAGGGGTCTTGGTCTCTGTGGCAAGTCGGCTTGGTGTGGCACTCTGCACTGGGACAGCTGTGATGACTGCAGGTGCTTTAACGGGACTCTTACCTGTGGCAGTCACTGTGCCATTAGTGTGAGTTTTAATTAATGGAACGCTAACAGTTTTAGTAACAGGGGTGGGTAGGGTTTTGACAACTGAGGTGGGCGTGACCTTAACAGTAGACATGGTCTGGACTCTAATAGGTGGCACTACAGGTTTCTGACCGGAACCAGAAGGGCTGCCTGCTGATGTCTGACCTGTGAGCTTATGGACCAATGGGAGCAGAGATCCGACATCAGGGGTGGGGCTCTGCAGCAACACCTGGATGGGCGGGTCCCCGGGACTGTGCTGCAGGAAGAACTGCTGACCCTGCTGACCAACCACAGGCTGCAGGTGGATGATCTGAGCACTGCTCATGGTGCCATTGGCTGACAACTTTACCTGCGGATGACTGACAGCTACACTCTTCTGCTGGGGAGAAGCGCTGGACTTTACTTCCCGTTTGGGAGGAACCTGGATCTGGATCCTGACGGGCTCGGACTGAAAGGAAATTATGAGACGGCTTTAAAATGTCAACATTCACAATTAGAAACAAGCCCATTTGCTGGGGAGGGTCATGGGATTTATTTGAAAATTCCACATCAGCTGCTGAACAAAGTTTGTACTGAGACTGTTTTGTCAACAGAGGACAGAATAAAATCTGCCGCTGTCCAACAAAGTGTTCTTCTTGGAAACAAATATAAGAAGTTCTAAATGGATTCTAAAATGGTTCTAAATATGGATTTGCTGTTTTTCTGTTTTAACTGACTAATTTGGGGGTTTGAATTTCAACAACACTATCAGAAGATATTTTGACATTTTGTAAACTAAATAATTGATTTTTTTCAACAAACAGCTCCAAAGGCTAAGAACAGCCTTAACTTTTTAGTGTCTGAAGGAAGAGACAGTCTTGGTGGTCTACAACATAGATGAGCTAAACCAGGGTCTGCAATCGCACACATTAAGGTGAGTACACCACATTCAATGCTGCTGTTAGTATATAGGCTACAGTCGCTTCAGAAAGGATGCCCACCTCTACAGTTTTTGCACATTTTACTGCTTTAAATTCATATTGAAACAGAAAAAAATGGACTTGGAATATGCAAGGAGTGAAGGGGTGGGAATAATTTGGACTGTATCAGTGTATGTGGAATAAATAACAGTTTGAGAGCTTGACATTTTAAAAACTGCATAAATTGCTGTCAGTAATGATGTGAACAGTGAGACAGTTTAACAGAGAAGAAACAGTTTCCAAAGAAAAGGACATAGGAGTGGTAAATGTTCACATTGAAAACAACTGTACTTAAATTATTCATGTGCTGAAATGTGTTATTTGTAGGAAAAGACCGAGAAGTGCTGTAATGTTGCACAGAAGAAAATCAAACTTGATTTAAAACTGTAATTTGATTATTGAGGCAAAGCTACAAGAAAAAACTAATAATAATAATGGTAGCAGAATTAAGAGTAACAGACCACATTACAGTCATACCAGTTTGCTGAATATTCTAGTACTTCACTTACCTATAATGCAGAGATAAGAAGTAATAGTAATTCAGCGCACACACATTGATCATCTAAACAATTCTTAAGTGAAGATATCTAGACATCTCCTGTGTGTGCTGGAAATCCTTTTACTGTGTAAAAGTACCGTCCTGCTCCGGCTTGTCACTCTGCTGGATGTATGAGCCTCCAGCTGTGCACAGGATTACTACAGTACTTCACTATGGATTTAACAGAGATGTTCCGATACCATGACCTCAAAGCAGTGGACATGCAGTTGTGGCCACATTAAGTATTTAAGTGGAATACTTGTGCATTTATCAGACATTTCATCATACATACATCGCTCTGCATTTTGTAGAGTTCAGCTCGTCACCCTCCAGCAGAAGCTCTCTCTCTGCTGCGGTGACAGGCTGCACTCTCTCCTTAGACATGTAGCCAGTCAGAAACCAGCTGATCATAGTTTCAGCTGTCTATATATGGTCTAGTCACTGACCATGAGAACGTGCACTGATCTTGGGCCACTGAATCCAGCATTTCTGCTCCACAGCACACGTGGGGGGTGAAGAACCTTAGTATCCAGGTAACCTTAGCTGGCATTAGAAAATCCAGGACTGCTCATTTGATCTGAGATCTGTTTAGCAATATACAAACACCCCATCCCCACCCCAGATGAGCAAACAGGTGAGTGGACAGAAGCACAAACAGATTGGGGCGGTCTGGATTAATCTGGACAAAATAAGACCACTACGTTACAGATAAAGCAGACTGATCTTTAACCAGCCCCGGTGTCTGACTCACCTTCTTCTGCACCACTTGGACCGAGCCACCTGTCTGCATGGCCACCTGCTGGGCGACACTCTTCAGCTGCTGGGATGCGTTGTTCTGGGTCGTGCCCTTTAAGTGCTGCTGAGGGACATGGGCCTGATTGTGCATCTTCAGACCCTGCTGGATCTGGACCTGCTGTTTTGGGGTCTGCTGGGGGACCTGCAGCTGGGATTTGGTCACCTGGTTGATGACCTGCTGCAGCTGGCTCGGGTCCAGGGCCGCATTATGGACCGGGATGCTTTTGAACAACTGGTTCTGCCGGAGCAGCTGGGCCGCCTCGGTATCTGAGACCTGGACAATCTGTTGCTTGGTGAGCTGATCCAGCAAAGCCTGCTGCTCCTCGGCCGTGAGCCCGGATCCCTCCACCAGGCTGCCGTCCGGCTGCACATAGATGATGGTGGTGTTGACGAGGTCCGGGCTCAGGCCAGTCAACTCTGTGCCCACCAGGACGCTCTGTTCCGCCGGGCAGCTCTGTAAGAGGTCCGCCAACAGAGCTGATGATAAACTCTCCGCGGGCTGACTGCTCTGCTCGGTGGTCGCTGCCGATACAGTCTCACTGGGCTGAGCAATCTCATCGGCGGACGATGATGGTAAACTGTCCGCGCTCTGGGGGCAGTATTCGTCGCGGGGCCGAGACGCGGGCCCCGGCGGCTCTGCGACTGTTGTTCTGGTCGAACTGCTATCATCTTCGTTATCCGCCATTTTGGCTGTGAGACTCAGAGGCTAAATGTTAGCTTAGCCGTGACTGGGAGCCAGTCGGTGGATCAGACCAACTAGATCGTTGGTTGATATCGCCGTATAAATACTATTTTATAAAATCAGCGTGTGCTCGTGGATAACGCGCTCCACTGAAATGAAAGACAACAAGAAACGGGAACAGTGATAACGGGAACAAGTGACGCTTAGCGGGGGGAGTTTTGAACTAGCCTAGCAAGCCTAGCCCTCAGCAGGACCGGGAGCGCGGACTTCCCGCACCGGATCGACCAATGGAGCGGATAAATTATTTTTGATAAATATTTTTATGTGACTAGTTCATTACAAATGTGTCCCTTTTCGGTAAACTAAAACCTGTTAAAATAAAACAATGATTTTTACGACTACAATTAAAATTTGTTTAGACAAACATGTAAGTAAAATGTTTTGTTTTATTTAACTGTTAAATTAACTTCAGACAGTGATTAGTGTTAGAAAGTAGGGTAACCATGTGCATTAATTCGTTGTTCCACTATTATAAAAACCAATATCATGCTATTTTTATAGATTATGTATTTATTCTTCAGATGTTTTAGTCCACGTAAAATTTATTGTGGGACATTTATGATGACAAGACAGAAAATAAGTCAGAGCTTCTTAGTGGAAAACTGTAGGCTCATGTCACAGGGAGTTTATCAGTTTTATTGCCACATTAAAGTATAAATGCAACTGCTCCCATTGCATTGAACAGAGGTTTAGAGGCGGTAGCCTGTTCAAAATGCTATCTTCATCTTTAATCAGTTTAACTCGCCTGTTCACTTGAAGAGTATTTAGATGGAAAGACAAATCTAGTTTCCGGGTCTTCCAAGCAGCAGTCGCCGAGTTTCCGCTTCCTGTCATTCATTTCCAAATTTATTAATTAATTAATCTTATTCTGGCTGCAGATGAGGATAATTAACTAACAGATTACACTCAGTACGAACATCAGAGAGTCTATGGTTAGTGTTTCACTTGGAAGAGACAAAAAGACCTAAAATTCATTAAAACATAAAAATAAATAAGAAGTTAAAGGTGTAATCCTTTTGTCTCGTCGGCATGTGGCGCAGTTTGTTGACAGCGGCTCGGCATCAGTATGAAATTTGTCGGGGCGATGTCGCCTGTCAGCTCCTTAACATCCAGCTGTATTAAAAACATCATAAACATCTGAGTGGGATATTTACTCTGAACTGTCAGTGAGTTGCTCGCAGTTTTCCTCCTACTGCTAAAGTTAGCCTGCCGTGCTAAGTTTGCATTAGCTGGTTTCATATGATGCTAGCTAGCCTGGACTCGGTGTTTGAGAAGCTAACGCATTAAACAACTCGATGCCTGTTTGTTGTTGGCATTATGTTGTTTCTGGGATGTTTCCTGCCAGCTGTCATATCAGCCAGCTCTGTTAACATTAAGCTGACCGCCCTGCTGTCATCGCTTGTACAGACAGCGCCACACCAAACTCCATTTAAAAAAATGTCCAATTAAATGCTTGTCTCAGTTTGGTCAGAGATACGTTTACTGGATAGTCTAGTTTAACATTTCCTACACCTCGGTTAATTATTCAGTTTAACTCGGCAAATTATCTAGTCCATCAACCAACGCTTAAATTATGGTAAATATCTGCTTTTTATGTTTGCTAACGCTGTTCGTTACCGCCCTCTGTGACTCTTGTAAGGGGAGAATAGTGCAAGTGAAACTGCGTAATGAGCAAGGAAACAGTAAATTGAACATTTTGGTAAATGAGCGTGGTGCAGAATATCATCATTTGATCAGGAAGCAGAACGTTCGTCGCACCAAAGCTAATTAATCATTGCCAATTTAATGAAGCTCTTCATTTAACCAATAACATATTCATTGAAAAATATTACACAAGATCTTTACGTTTTGTCTAGTGTTGGGTTTCATTTGGCATATGTACGGTCCACAATACAGCCTTTAAATTGTGTTAATTCTCAGCTGTTTACATTTGTTTGTTTTGTTTGTTGTCACCATCTGTGACTGGTGAGGGGAGAATATTATTTTTAAAAATGGCAATAAATCATAAAGCTTTTTTGTGGTAAAATGCATAAAGGTGTTACATAAATTTTTGAAGGTGGACTGTGTTTTATTTGTATGTTGGCTGATAAGTAACTAAAGTAAATATATGCAGAGTGTCAACCAAATGAACACCAAGTAGACTGTTTCCTCTGGTTAATTTTAAGTGTTTTTAAATTGAGGTATTCCTCTCATTTTCAGGACCGGGGTCCACTTCAGCACAAACATGGCAACCCAGCTGACTGTGCCATCTGTACTGAAGGAGTTTTGCCCGCTCTACTACCTCCTGAATGCAATCCCACCTAAGGTATTGACCTGTTTGGTCAAGGTACCAAACCACACAAACTTAGGTCAAGGCAAGGCAGTGTTTTAAACTGGGCTAATACCCTGGATAAAACTAGGCCAAGGTACTGTTCCAGACCATGCTAAAATCCAGAGTGGTTGATGTTATTACTGATAAAGCCCTCTGTCTCTTTGCAGGTCCAGCGTGGGTTCAGGTCGGTCCTGGTCTACTTGACAGCTCTGGACTGCAGCAGTGACTTCCTGGCAGTGGGAAGCAGTATTGGCATGCTCTACCTTTACTGTCGCCGCCTCGCCCACATGAACAAGTACAGTCTGGAGGTCTGAGCTCTTCATCTGTGGTGCTCTGTTTTTTATTAAAAGATGTCCTTCTGGCTGCTGGTTAAGTCAGGAGTCCACTGATGAGACTGACTCCGGAGTTAGCACAAACTCACTACAGCAGGGGTGTCACTCTGTATTTGAAATTCAAAGTAGTTTAGACCTAGGAAAAACAATGTTCAAAGTGTAATCAGTCGTTTGAACATTTACAATATACAGTCTCATCAGACTATTTGAAGTAGCTCACTCTGTGGTCCAGCATGGGGCACAGCTAAAGTTCAGTGACAGCTTGACCTATTGCTACATCAGTAAACTAAGTTAATAAAAAATGGAGGATTCATTTCAACTGAAAATTTGACAGCCCTAATGTGTGTGTTGGGCACGTGCATTTATGCATACATCTTTACTCTGGACCCTATATATTTATAAAGAGATTGTCTTTTTTTCCTACTATTTTGATTGCATGTATTTTATATCTGAATACACACATCATTATTTTTATTTGCTGCTGTCTTACAAGGAACATTGAGAGCCTCCGTACCGGAGTCAAATTCCTCATTTCTAAACATGCTTGGGCAATAAAGCTGATTCTGATTTTGATTACTACTTGTGCATGTGTGTTGCAGGGTAAGTGCGACACAATCACAGCTGTGAAGCTGCTCAGCTGTTTTGATGATCTAGTTGCCGTGGGAACAGCTTCAGGTCGGGTTGCAATCTTCCAGCTGGTGTCCCCACTTCCTGGTCGCAACAAACAGGTGACAAAATCCACAAATGTGTACCGCAGCTACAGATGCTCTCCAACATTTCTGACTTCTGACTCCCATCACAGCCTGTCTATCAGCTTATAGCATCCGTGTCAGTGTACGAGTCAGCTGATAAATGACAAGAAATCAAAGAAATGTATAGAAACTGAATGCTTGTGTTTTACACTTCATCCACCAGAGAGTAGTGACGCTTTTATTTTAGGATTGATGTCACATTTTTGTAGCACAGCCTTTAATCTTTGGGCTTGGTGGGACATCAAGTTATTACAAATGAAGGGATTGAAGACTAAGTGAAGACCTGAGTCAGTACTGTTAAAGTCCCAGCTCAGGTGTGTCTGACATACACCCCTAGTAACAATCCCGTCTCACTCTCTCTACCTGTCTGTCTTTAGTTGAGGCGGTTCGACGTGGTCGGTCTTCATAAAGGCTCTGTAACATCTTTGGCGTGGAGCACCAATGGCATGAAACTTTTCTCTGGAGATGATAAAGGACGAATTGTCTTCTCTGCTCTGGATCTGGACCAGGTGAAGCTACACAACAATAATTCAGTTCAGTACAATTACATTTTATATGTGTAACTTTATAACTCCCTTTAAGGAAAGGAACCTCTGACCATACCATACCATACCAACTTTATTTATAAAGCACTAAAAACAACCAGAGTGGACCAAAGTGCTGTACATTGCAATAAAACAATATAAATTATAAACCACAAACAACAATATAAAATATAATCAATCAAATGACTAAAATCAACACAAAAATATCAAAATGCCAGGGAAAATAAATGAGTTTTTAAAAGAGACTTAAAAACAGACAGGGTAGAGGCTTGTCTAATGGACAGTGGTAAATCATTCCAGAGTTTAGGACCAGCAACTGCGAAGGCTCGATCGCCTCTAAGCTTACGCTTCGTTCTTGGGACACTCAAGAGAAACTGATTTGCTGACCTCAGAGAGCGTGTGGGTGTATGCCAATGAAGCAAATCAGTTAAGTAGGATGGTGCAGAGCCATGAATGGATTTAAAAACAAAGAGTAAAATTTTGTAATGGACCCGAAAATGGACAGGTAACCAGTGTAGGGACAGACCCAGGCTGTTGGTGGGCGACCTTCTTCCTCGACCAGTTGGTGTGAGTGGATAGCAGAGAGAGAGAGAGAGAAAAGAAAAGAAAAGCATCAGGACACAGCAAACAAAATCCCAAACAAACACTGGCTAGGTTGATGCAGCCAGTGACTGCTCATCAGAAATCAGACATGTAATGGTGGAATATAAACATGGATTATCATGGGCATGAGCATCGTTATGATCAGAAATGTGTTCAATTAGTTCATTTGTCCAACATTAAAAAGCCCAAAGATCCCCAGGTTGCTGTCATATGGTAGTACTTTATTGATCCCACAGTGGGGAAGTTCCTGTGTTCCAGCAGCAAAACACCATAAGAACAAACACCACACACATATCATGAGAAACAGATTCCAAAGTACCCAAAACCAAACAGAATATAGTATTTGAGAGACAATCAAGAACAAGAATGATCTTCCCACAATTAATCCCTGAGAACAAATCAAAAATACCTAAGAACAAGACAAAATATAGTATTTAAGAGATCAAGAAATCAAGGACAAGAATATTACTCCCATTATTAATCCCCCAGTGGGGGAAATATATGTATTTCAGCCATGAGGATCTCTGAAGAACTACTCACATACCTAAAACAAGACAATATAAAGTAGAGAGAAATCAAGGACAAGATTTTGATATAGGACGAGAGATGCAGAAAATCCTCACGTTTGAGAAGCTGACATTGGAGTCTTTTTCTCTGAGAATAACTACTTATTGATTCATGATTAATCATTTGTCAAAGTACATAATAGCTGTTGACAAATCAATGAATGAATTGTTGCAGCTCTAGATAACACACCCCACCCTCTCTGTGTGTTTACCTGTGTGTGCAGGGGGTGTGTAAGCCTGTACTACTGTTGGAGGAGTCCTCAGGTGTAGTTCAGATGGAGTACAGTCACCAGGTGCTGCTGGTGTCCACACAGCAGAGATCTCTGCTTTACTGCACACAGAAACAGGAAGTGCAGCAGCTGGGCACCAAGCCCCGCAAAAGGTACAACACACTACATACATGTACTATACAACACACGCTATAGAGAACACACAATATACAACACATTGTGTGATGTACAACCCATCATTTACAGCGGAGCCTCACACATCCAGCCCACAGCTGAAAACAGTTTATGTGCTCAAAGGAATGTGAGAAATGTGCTGAAAGAGCAACTAACAGTAGTAGAGGTTACTGCTACTACTGCTTCTCTCATACTGACGACAGCTGAGTGCTGTATTTATGGTGGGATGGAGGTTTATTATAATTGGAGGTGTAACCCAGGTATGTCACAACTTTTTCTCTGGGGCAGGGGATTTCTAAAGATCAGTGTGACTGCATTTTATTTCTGGAAAAATTAAATGAATGTCTCTTGCCATAAACACAGTAAAATGGGACCAGGATCAAAAACTGGTACAATGAAGTGACTGTACATGCCATTCACTAAAAAGTGGATTTAGTGTGAATTTACTCTTTGTGTTCACCATTTTCAATTTAAATGTTTGTAGGTTTATATAGGATGAAGTATTTATACATGTGGTTTGTAGTTTCAGGAAAAGATTTTTATTTGTATAGCTCCAAATCACAACAGCAACCATCTCAGGACACTTTACATCATGGGTGCACAGACCATTTTGCGCCTTGTGAGCTACTTTTCAAATGACCAAGTCAAAATGATCGACCTACAGTTAAATGCTGACTCACATAAATAAGTAGAGCCAAATAATACAGTCAATGGCACATTTCCTCATGTTTGGGTACTTTTCCTCTGTAAGTTCTAAAACGGTCCATTAGCCCTGGACTTCAGCTGAATGTCAGCCTGTAGTGTCAATATCTTATCCTCCACTCCAGACCAGTTCAGGTGAAACAGTTACAATTTTTAATGCGAGTGAATGAACCTCAATATCTTCCCTAAATGGGCAGCACATAAATGTAGCGACTGGCTTGAGTGAGGCAAAGTCTTGAAAGTGTTTGTCAAACTCGGACCGACAACTGTCAATCTGCTCAGTGTAGCGCACAATGTCAAGTTGCGCACATGCTTTCAGTTGCGTCTCCAGCTCTGATGTGAGGTTTTGGAAGTTCCCCAAAATGTTGCATTTTTTGTTTGAAAGCATTAACTAAGCTGATTATATTGACACAAGATCTACCGACACTACCTTTGCGATCGACTGGTCGATCACGATTGACGTACTGGGCAGCCCTGCTTTACATAGTCAGGTCTAGACCTTTACAGTACAATAGAGAAAACTCAAGAAATCCCCTTGAGCAGCACTTGGTGGCAGTGGGGAGGAAAACCTCCCTTTAACAGAAGAAACCTCCGACAGACCACAGTTCTTGGTGAGCGGCCTTCTGCCTCAACTGGTTGGGGTAAGTCGATAGAGGAGAGAGAGAAGAAAAGAGAGGCAACAAGACACAACAACAAACAAACAAACACTGGTCAGGTTGATGTGGCCGATGACTGATCATCAGAAACATAGAGCTCCAGGGCCAGGGCAACCTGCAGAAAGGTACAGAGAGAGAGAGAGAGCTGAAAAAAAAAACTTAGGAAAAATCAACTGGACTAGATTTCTAGGTCGAAGACGTTTCACCTCTCATCCAAGAGGCTTCTTCAGTTCAGACTGACTGGTGTTGAGCCGGAGATATCTATCCCCATTGGTGGTGTTTCAGTCCTTTGATGCCCAACAATGTCCCCTAACGACGTTGTTATAGCCCAGTATCGGTGAGAGTCGTTACCCGTCTTTGAATCCTCCCCTGTCGACCGACGCCTATTGTCCTGGTGGGCATGTTTGGGCAGAGATCTCAAAACAGGATTGTAGATGGAAGACAAGTTGTGTCTTAGTCCACCACCCCTATTTAGTGAGGGGTGTTCTATTTTTACAAAAATAGCTTCCTTAACTCCTCTCTCAAACCAGCAATGTTCTCTGGAGAGGATCTGGACTTCACTGTCCTCAAAAGAATGTCCTTTGTCCTTCAGGTGGAGGTGGACTGCTGACTCTGGTCCACTGGAGTTGGCCCTCCTGTGTTGGGCCATG